TAGTGGATCGGTTAATGAAAACGCAATGATCGCAGCGTGATTTTGAGGCGATCGTTTCAAGTGTCGCAGCGAGAAGGGTTAAGTTTAAAAGAGTAATAGATAACTGAAGAGAAATTTTGTAAATAGACCATTGAAAAAAGAAATTGTTAGCCAATATTATTGATGGTTAGGTTTAAGAGGAGATATAAATGTCACATGTACGTATATTATATATTAAAATAGACTTTGGAGAGATAGGATATCGGGTTAAAGTCAGGGTTAGGAGAAAAATCGAATGATCATAATAGAAAATTAATAGTAAATACTACGCCTAATCCATAGTTTTAAGCCTGTACTTGTTTTGTATTTTAAGATAGCTTTTCCCTATAGTTATGCTCAAAGGCAATAATGGTATGACTTGTAAACTATCTTCTACAGCTCTTGCTGACCACCCTACTAATTGCACAGTTTTCTATAAGGTCAGTGTGCTTCTTCCGTCAAAAATTAGTGGCGTGTTTCTTTAATTTATTAAACTCTTTCAAGTGAATTTCCCTTCCAATGGTCGTCTATATGGATAAAAGTCAAAAACTATCAAAATCTGGTTACAACGAACGCGAACCAATGGTGCTTTAATACAAAAAACAGTTGTTAGTATTATAATAGATTATTATTAGTCGTACGAAGAAAATAAACCTCTTATATTCTGGCATCGTTGAATGTCGAACGACTAAAATGTCAACAAGTTTAATAAAAAGTTTCCTTTCTTTGTCCAATCCATGATTTGTCCAAAAATGATTTGGTCTGCTGATTAGAATAATAGTTTTAACATTTGCAAAGTAATACTAGTAATAATTGTCATGACACAGCGATGAGTGGAAATAGAGACTAAAATTAAACGTCGAAAGCATGAATCGGTTCGTTTTAGTTTTCGAAGATCGAGCGAGCGAAAGAGAGAGAGAGAGAGAAAAGACAAAGAAGACAAAGAGGAGAAGGAGAGGGAAGCTAATCATGACGAAGAAGAAGAAGAAGAAGAATGTCAATTGTCGCTGATATTGACCTTTGAAGAAATGGTAACAGTCTCTAAACTACACATCCTTTATATTTGACCGTCTTCTCGAACAAGGAAGATTAAAGTTTAGCATTGTAACGTCCGATTCGCTGCTCTACAACTCGCTTAGCCTTCGTGTCTTAACCTTAATTAATTGGGGGGAAATGATTTTCCGCCGCAAGAGTTGCGTCGTGCAGAAGAAACAACGTTACACGTCAATTGTTCCAAATATTTCAACTCGACCGAAAGATAATAAGTAACATGTACTGTATGTATTTGTATTGGATGTTCCAGTAGGGCAAGAGCTATTAATGTCTCGTAAGCTGTTCAGCTGACTCACTTGAAAGGACTACGATTATGAAGCACAACCTTCCGGAGAGGAAATAGAAATATCATGTGACATGGATTTTGATCTGAACCGAATGCAGCTCATCAACAAGACATTTCTAATGGAGTTTTAATATCTTCGAATACGAACGGGTTGATTAGAGAGAAGTGATCAGTCTCTCTGATTCTAAGGGGGCGTATAGACAGATTGTTTGAGAGTGGAGAGCCTTTTTTTAAAAGTTGAAAATTGAAAAATTAACCGTACTAGTTTAATTAATTGGTCATCTTTGAAAGGTTAGCGACAGTTTACGGTAGCTCTTCTACTCGATACAACTAGCTGCCGTGGTGTTAATTTTGAATATAATTTGTTTTTAAACAAAAGAAATATTAGATATTAAATTCAAATGTTGAATTGATAGAATATTGTTTTTTTTACATGAAAGCGGACTGCATTTCTGATCTGTTCATATAAATTATATAGGCAATTTCTCCCAACCTTTCAGTCACGGTGAAATTCATAAAAAAGGCATATTACAAAATAAGCCTTGCACGAAAATCGTTGTTGACCGCTCTACTCTTTTCCTTTAGATGAAGGAGGAACGTGCTTTTTTCACTTTTCACGGATATCAGTCGAATGTACCCACGTTCACTCGATTCTCTCCCCAATTATTTTGCTTTCTTCATGGTTCTTGTCAATAGGCAGCTCCATCTGTTGATAGAAATAATCATCGGTTTAGGGCGTTATGGAGAAAAATGTTGAAAGGAACAAGTATACGTAGTTAGGATAGGCAGAAAGGAGAAAGATGAGAGAATTAATCAGGAGGGAAAGGCTTATTAGAAAGAGGAAATGATCCAAATGGACAAAAAAGTAAAAGAAGAAGAGGAGTAGAGAGACATTATCTTCCAAGCAAAACGAAGAAAATACTATATGAAAAAGAGGATTATAAGAAAGTTTTCTTCTCTTAATTCATTCATAGAAGGCTTCACCAACTCTTTTTTTGGTTTCGAAATTGTTGGCTTTGATGGAATGGTTCGAAGGTAAAAAACAAAAGGAGAGCCAATCTAAAAACGCATCTTTGTGGGGAAAAAGTCAAAACAAAGCGAATAGAAATTTAATTAAACGGAAGAGCGTTAATATTTTAATACGTTTACTCGGCTACTACGAAAGGATAATCTTTTAATTTCGAAATGCTGCAGAATTTGAGGTGAAAAGGTAGGAAAGTAGAGCGGGAAGAGATTTATCAGGCAGCGAGTGATAATACATGTGTCCTATACATAGCTATTAATATTGAAACATTTATTTGTTTGGTTGTTTATTTATTAGTTGATGTAAATGTTGAATGAGGAAAGGAAGAGCAAAGAATGCAAGTCCCCAGTGCAGATTTCGACGCCGTGAATCTGGAAAATTTTTCCAGTTTGTTTGTGACAATTAAGGAAGGAAATTTGATTCTTTCGAAGAAATGAGTAAAAGTCAAAGAGAGGATGTAATTAATTTCACGATAGAAACGCCCTTTTTTTATAAATATTAAGCGCATCGAGCGTCTAATATATGTTTGTTTAAGGTAAACAGACAAGATAGACCGCTCTGAGAGGAAAATGGAATATAGAATAAAATAATGGGTTATACACGGTGAAAATGTGACAATTCACAAATCGATTTATTCACTTGTTTCGATCAAAGAGATCAAATGTCAATTTATTATTTTTTGTTATATCGAAACGAATAAGCCTATACAGTTTTTTTAAATGCTATTCTAACTGGAGAATAAATTTTAATCTTTTTGCAAATGAGGCATTTCTCGGTAAGTCAAAGACAAAAATAACTTAAGGGCTCAAAGTGTCGTCTATATGTAAAGGGGGAAGGGAACTGAAGGAGAGTAAGTTAGTGTACATTACTTTGTTGAAGAGTAATCTACTGTGAATATATATATTATATATATATGTATATAAATAATCTTGAATAATTCTTTCATTGTCTATACCAATGCTGGGTAAACAGAGGGTGTGACAGAGGAGAAGAGAGAGAGAGAGAGAGAGAGAGAGAGAGATAGCAAAAGAGAGGTGACAGACACATGAAAAAAGAAACATACATGCGTAGAAGTATACATATTGTACACACACAGACACACACACACATATATATATATATATATATCAGTATATCAGTATAAATATACAGTAGATAATTTACATATAATATACTGTATATATATATATATATATATATATATACATATTTTAGTATCTACGTGTGTGTAGACAGCATATGCAAAGTGAAATGGTGCACGCAAAATGAAGATTTTTCGGTGCATATAAAAGTTGTACTTTAACAAAAAAAACCATCATATAATTTGAAACAACTACGTGTATAATGAAAAAATGTAACAATTACTTTCTGGCAGAATGAATGCGTAGGTAAATGGTCGGCGTTTAGATTTATGGCTCAGCTCAACTATGTTTAATCTATACTTGAAAATGTTCAACGATTGATAGATGACAAAGAACAAGATAAAATAAATATATAAATAAAAGACTATTTCCCAATACACAGTACAAGAGAATAGACTCTACGTTTAACTTTCAACAATAACGTTTATCCAGTGAACAGACGTTAACAACGCAACACTTATATTCAAACTCTGTACAATATACTTGGCCCTCTTCTACTGTTTTAGCTACTGCTGATGCTGGTGCTGTTGTTATTTTTTCCATTGTTCATATTATCATATTTTCCTGGCCAAGGATATAAAGACGGACAAGTGAAATAGAGAGGGGAGGAGAAAGGGGAAAGGAAAGGGGATATGAGTATTAAGGCCAAGACGATGGTTTACTGATAGCGGATAGAGCGGATCCGTTCAATTTATGTTTGTTGTTGGTAAACAAAATATCGCTCTCCTAAGATTGGATTAGAAGTTGGAATGAGGAAAACAAGAAATGGGTATTGGCGTGCAAAATGGACTTGTCTTAAGAACAAATGGAAAAGGGTCATAGTCCATTCCCCGAAGAGTTAAGAGAATTCTTTTAGTAGGTTAATGTACCAGTTTCGCGTTTATTATTTTCTCATTAACAGAATCATATAAAAATACTCGACTTTGAGTACGACGTCATCGATTTTTTTTGCACATATAATCAATTATTTTCGCTCTTTTTTGTCAATTTCTCTTTTTCTTATGCTACTCTATCTGTCTGTCTGTCTCTTTCTTTCTTTCTTTCTTTCTTTCTCTCTCTCTGTCTCTCTATCTCTCTCTTCTTCTCGTCCTCAGAGAAGGCATAACGAAACTTTTACAGCTCTTTATTTCCATTCAACAATCTAATAAAGATGACTGGCTTGCTTCGATTCGCCTACTTCTGATTTCAGCTGGTGGCGAATAGCATCCAGCACCTCTTATAGATCGCTTATGACAAGCGACTCTGGGGAAATTTATCAATAGATGACTATACGCAACCTGACGCATAATACAAGTGGAACAGGTCGCTCAAATGAAGATTATCTAATCCGCCTATTCTAGACTAAAAATTTTCTACTAGGCAGTGCTTGAAGGGATATTAATCTGCTCTGGACTAAGATGGATTAAGGGAATTTTTTCTTATGACTTTCCCTTTTCTTTTCCTATTCATGCATCTTCATAGATCAGAAATGCATGGAAACAGACATAGGTGCGCTCACACACTTACCAATACAGGTACAATTCGCCAACAGACTTAATAGTCACTAATTGCGGATAATCGATAAGAGAGTTTTAAACTTATTATAACCAATTTTTTATTGCCATTCATATTGAAATGTTTAGAAGCTGGAAGTCAAACATTTTTCCGTTAAATTGAAACAAGTGAATGGGAGCATGAGAGTATGTCTAAAAGGTAAAGGTAACGCTTACTTTTTATGTTAAAGGTAGCTCAAACAACTTCAATAATGTTTATGAATGACAACAGTGGGGCAAAAAAAAGCACCATAGAAAAAACAAACACGCAACCAGATTGCGCAATTACATAAAAAGTCGCTCAACAAATAATTCGGTAAACGCTCTCGAACAAAAACTAAAATCAAAATTAATAGCGAAACAAACCAAACAAACAAACAAATAATTTAATAAATAAACAAAACAGTATTTCTTTTATTACATTTACAAAACAGAAATGTAGCTTGGTCTTTGTTTTTTACTTTTCTTTTCAGATTAATGTCAATTGGCATTGTTGACTTGAAAATAGCGTGTAAATATTAATACAGTATGTATACTTACAGTAAATGTAGGTAGTTAGATAGATAGATAGATAGATATTAGTATAAAGAGACTAAAAGAATATATTGCACGCAGTTTACATTCAGATACGAGCAATGCCTAATACACAAACACACACATATACATTCAAAGGCCCATTTATTCACTTACCTAAATATACCTACACATATACACACATACATACGCAGATACATTCACACATGTATATGTTTATATGTACATGAATATATATTAAAAGGCAATAGCAAATAGCTAATTTTCTAAAAATTGAATGCATGTGTACGTGTACGTATGTGCTTGTATCAGAGAGAGAGAGAGAGAGAGAGAGAGAGAGAAAAAGAAAGAGAGAGAGAGAGACAGAGACAGAGACAGAGCCAAAAAGAGAGAGTAAGAAACAGGGAAAATGAAAGAGGTGAGAATTCTCTAGTCAATATATTTTAATCATAACTGTTACGCATAAAAGCAGTACAGATAAGAAGCTTTACTGAGTGAAAAGTAACATTTATCTTCATTCATTTACTGTCCTTTCTTTTTAATTGCTTAAAAAACGTCGGCAACAATGCAAAATCTTTTGTGTTTGACTATTTTTAAGCAATTATACTAAAAGAGAAATAAAAGAATAGAAAAATGACAAGGTTTACGTTTCTAACTAGTTCTTCCGGTTCCCTTTTCAATTGGTTACAATAAAAAAGAGGTAAGACAATTGTAGATGAAAAATGTAGATGGAGTGGGGTGAAAAGGATTGACTGTAAAATGATTTGCGGCACGAAAGGAATGAAATTGAATTTTTATAAAAACAAATTTCAACAAACGCCACACCGCAAAGGAAAAGAAAAGAAACGAAGAAGAAAGAAAGAGAAAGAGAAAAATAGTTGCAAACCTATTAGTTTGCAAGTTGGAGAAAAGATGTAAAAGAAAGGAGGGAAAGAGGGAGGAAAGGAGAATGGGAATGAGGAGAAAAAATGTATCTATAACTGCAGTTTATGCAAAAAAGAAAACAAAAAAGGAAAGACAGAATGCAGAAATGTTAATTATCCTCTAGTTACAAGTTTTCGGCCACTCTTAATGGCATAAACTCATTTCCATTCAAAACAACTTTCTGATAAGAATTCGATGCTTCGGTTGTGTTTAGAACAAGAGGAGCGTATGTGACGCCCTCTTCTTCTGAAGTTCGTTCACCCTGAACCATTAGTGGATGGTAGACAACATGATCTCCCTCCGAAGACTTCATGAGAACTGGGCTATATAACTGAATACTTTCATTCTCGGATGATGTACTAACAGGCACAACGCAGAAACTTGCTCTAGGCGTCGACTCGTTTCTGGTAATCTCATTGATTTCAGAGGCGTCCTCCACGACCACCGTTGGAACCTCCCTTTTTGGAGTAGATGGCTTCGTTTCTTCTCCGTTCTTGCGAGCCATTGCCGCCATTTTTCGTTTAGCGTAGCAGTGTATATAGATACAGTTGGCGATTATGTAAAAGACTATAAGTAAAGACGCCCCTATTAGAAAGGCTGGTACAAGAGCCAATTTTCCCTTTTCGGAATAAGGATGCTCTTCGTCCAATAGGCTTTTGGTCGTATTCCAATAGGACGGAGTCGACATTATTCGAAATTAACAACTCATAAAGATACGTCGATAGAAGTGACGTAATGAAGCGTCTAGTACAGGTGCCAGAGGCGTTACTCCTGTCACCGATAATATCGACGTCTGTTAAGGCTCACCGATTGTTTTCACTACTGTTCGAGAGCGTAGCTGAACTGAGAATGTTGCGCCTATTAGCCAGGTGGCGTTGCTGCGTGAAATGAGCATGTAACTATCATAAAGAGTAAGCATTAAAAATAGAATAAAAAACATTATATATATATTAATATATATTCTATATAAGTTTGTATATATGGGAGACATCAGTAGTGTAAGCGCCAGATCACTGTATATTTAGTAAATATGCGTAATATATGCAATACATTATACTTCTTACTTTCTCTTTCATTCATCCTCTCGCTCTCTTTCTTTGTCTTTCTTTCTCTTTTGGACTATTATGTTTACAACGCATTAAGTATACATACTAATATGCATATATACAATATATTCGTTCGTAATGAAAGATATAGAGAGAGATAGAGAGAGAGAGAGAGAGAGAGAGAGAGAGAGTATTGCTACATTAATGAGCCGTTTCCTAACTTAAATAAGGTGTGTGGGAAAACAGTTTGAGATTACTATACACGTGAATAGTGGAAATACCGTTTGGACAATAGTTTTTCTATTAAGCTTTGCTGGTTGATTCATATTGCAGAGGGAAACAGTTCATCGCTTCTTCATAATAACGCCAATGTAATTTGTACATAGAAATATCTAATTAACTGTAAGTAAGAATTTGCTCAACGTGTCCAATAATTGATTCTCACACGACACAATTATATTTTACCTATTAGTTTTCGCCAACTTTGTGAGAGCAGCCAGAAGAACTTGACTAGGTGCTATGCCATCGATTAGTTCGATTAGCCTATTTTCATTTTTATTATCTTGCAGGCATATCTCTCTCTCTCTCTCTGCTTCTCTTGTTCCCTTGTTCTCTTGCTTTTACTGTGGCGAAAAACGCCGAAAGATTAATTCAGAATAAAAATTAAGGGAAATTCTACAAATGCAAATAAAGAGTGCATTTTGAGAAAAAGGTAGCAAAGAAAAGTGATATGGCTTAGGATGGCGTATTACAAAGAACTATCAGATAGAATGCAAAAGGGTTAGAATGCAAAAACTCAAGAATGTATATTAACTTATTATAACATTAAGTCCGATGCAAAATCGTTGAGTAAATATAATCTTATTCTATGACGAGTCTTGTCGTCATGTCGACAGCAATAGAAACGTGACCGTCTAAAAACATCTTCTCTCAGCGCAGTCAATGTGCAATGGAAAATAAAGCTTTCCTTAGTCTTGTTCTTTTTCGTTACTTCGTGCTAATTCCCCCTTTTCCCTACTCCCCTACTGTCTAATCTCTCTCTCTCTCTCTCTGCGTATGTCTCTCCGTCTCTCTTCGTCACTCTCTCGAGGGAGGAGAGAAAATAGAAATGAAAATAAACTTATCTGAATGAGAGAAAAGTTTAAGTAGAGTTAAGCGAAAGGAGAAGAAAGAAAGAATTAATTGGATTGGCAAGTGTATAAACAAGTATTAGTGCACACACTTTGCATAAGTGTTAAAATTCGTAGAGCATAGTAGATGTCAGGCTGATTATATTGAGTATACTGTAAAAAAAGAGTGAAACAACAGCAACAGCACTTGTACACTATCGCCAATTGTATTCCGTTGTATAGTTGGAGTGCTGTCGTTAAGAAATGCAGTAGTGTCGCAGCTTTTACTTTTTATTATTTCGTAACGAAATAAAGAACTAACCCTGACGAATAATTAAGACTTGCGTGATTATATAAAATCATTTAACTGTTCCGCAGCTAGCTGCATTGAAGCCATACTCGTAGTATTTTTAGCTTTTTCTTGTAAATAAAATTTCCACGCTTATAATACGATAATCATTGCTCAAGAAACATTCTTTCACTCTCACTCCTAACCCTCTTTCCTTCGACGGAGATGGATAGGCGTATGATAGATATACAATATATACTGTATGCTGTATATCTATCGCTACAGGAACACTGCTGATTAAAAGATTTAAAATAGATTAAGTGAGAGCGAGTGAGTTAAGAGCGTCTGTGTGTGTACGAGTGTGCACGGATGAATGCATGGATGGATAGGAGGATGGATAATTCTCCGAGAGGAAAGAAGACTATTTGTTCACGGCAGCTATTCTCTCCTCCCACACACGTTTCCTCTAAGGGAAAGAAAAGTAAAGTATATCTTACGCGGATTGGTTAATCCGATGAAATGGATGTAATAGAGTGGTGATTTGTCGTAATATTTAAGAAGGAGAAGACAAGAAAAGATACAAAGCAGAAAAAGATATAATTCTGGAATATGTAATGCTTGTTTACTAGATGATAAAGTCGTATGAGTGTGTGTGTGTGTGTGTGTGTTTTGTTTTTAACTGGAAATGAAAAGCTATACTGAGTAGTTTGTCATTCGCTGCAAATGCAGAACTCTAAGGTTATATTTACTTGCAATAAATAAGCCGTCTGCTTGTTTTCTTTTTGCCAGCCTAAACCGTCTCGCAACTAGGTAAACATTTCTAAATTCTCCCCACCAAAAACTGGCGACAAACAACTTTCCATATAGGCTTCCACACTGGTATTAATAGCGCATTTATCCTCTAGCGATAACGATTACTACGAGTCGAAAACTGTTGTACTCGGTCAGCAGTATCTTAATTCCGAACACTTGGACGTCTTTCTATAATCTCTGGAGACGGCAAAAGGTTTCGTCGGTTGAGTTGTAATCGTATAGAGTACAAATGCCTTTTGTTTTTTATCATTGTCATTACTTTTTTGCATTGTTGATGATTTTAAAAATCGGAAAATTGAAATCGAAATGAACGAAAGAGAAAGGTAATTTCTTTTCCTGCGAAATATTCGACCAATATAGAAAATAAACAGAATCTAAAAGAATGAAATTAGCCTGTTCGATTCATCAGAAACCAATTAAATTCTCTTCTTTTTTCTTCTTCCCAATAAATACAGTATACTGTATACAATAGACCAGGAAAGAAACTAGAAATACAAAGTAAGACTCGCTCTTTCGATATCCAATCAATCCCGCTTTTACTTTTCTATTCGAGGAACGTTATAAACCTATATATTATTTACTTTTAGAGAGAAGAAAGATGGCGCTACGGTATTGCTTTCAACAGAATCATCAATTGAAAAAGACAAGCATGCTTTACATTTGAACGAAACACGTTACGGATAATGAAGATAATTGACAGATAAAAGTAACAATCAAATATTTATTCTCTTTTATTTACAATTCATTAAATGCATGATCTGGTAGATTCTGAAGATGTTCAAAGTCGAATATACTGTATATATACTAATATATATACAGAGAGACAGACAGAGAGGGAGAGGGAGATGGAGAGAGAAAGAGAAAGAGAAAGAAAGATAGACAGATAGATAGATAGATAAATTAGACAGACTTATTGAATTTAGTTAGTATTTACATGTATATGTAAAAGAATGAATTGACATGCTTTAAGTCACTGACTGAATATCAGATTTGCTGAATGTGCTATATCGAATCAAAACAACAATAAAGGTGAATATTTCGAGTCATTATTAGGCCTATTTCTCATAACTTATTTATTATTATTAAATGATTATGAATATAAAGGTGTTTGCTAAACCATTTGTCGAATAAAAGAAAAATGCCCTTATAAGTAATGAATAACCATTTCGCAAAAGAAGGGTTGTTGTCCTGAAATAAAGCTTATTGTTTTATGCACTTCGCTGCGTTCTCTCTGTTTCTCTATAGACACTATCAATGGTTTGTTGAACGCCCTATTCTGCTTTCTAAATAAATAATATTTTTCATTCAACAAGCAATTAAAATGATGATAAATCATTTGTAGATGCTATTAGTATATTAAACATAGCAATCAGCCTTTTCTTTCTCTACAATTGTTGGAGGGAAATCATTCCCCTATCTCCCTCCTTGTATAACGTTTCGATAGACATGTTGGCGATTCTTTTTCTTGCGATTCACTTGATAACTCATCTAACTGGACAGATGGGTGTCCAGTCGAAACCGAACGAAGCAACGCTTATGAAACACTTGTTTAGAGAATATGATCGTCGGGCAAGACCGAAAAAGGATCCCCTAGCTCCTGTGAATCTTGCCGTACGAGTTATAGTCAATCAGATATTATTGGTTGACGAAAAGAAGCAGATAATAGAAACCTACGTATCTTATAACATGGTAATTACATTGTACCTATTAAAAAACTAGGTACTGATGCTTGAACGAAGGAGCGAACAAGGAGCGAACGAATACATGTCTGTCTATCCGTCTGTATGTATGTATGCATGCATGTATGAATGTGTGCGTGTATGGATGAACGAATGAATGAATGAATAGACGAGTCATGTTTTACTTTTTCATTATTGAATTACTACTAAAATTTAATCAATTAAAATTTAGACATGGAAAGATGACTTTTTAACTTGGAGTCCTGCCAATTTTTCAAACCTAAAGCGTTTAGTAGTGCCAACCAACAATTTATGGGTTCCAAAACTTATTGTGATAAACGCCGGAAAAGACGTCAGTACCAACACGAATGACGATGGCTTTGCGGCCGAAGTCTACAGTAATGGAGAAGTGAAATTAATACTGGCTACTACAGCCTATACGACTTGTATTTTTGACTTGACCCTATTTCCTTTTGATAAGCAAAAGTGCGAGTTGAAATTAGGCATTTTTGGACACTTTTGCTCTGAGGTGAACATGTCGAAATACGATAACGAACTGAAATTTTTATGGTATACCCCTCATACGGAATGGGCAGTTGAGGGGTCGTCGCTGAAGGAGATGGCCTACAAGGATGGCGAGGGATCCTATTGTACCCTTGATGGAACAATTTTTATAAGAAGAAAATCTTTATATTTGGTCAATAACGTTCTGATACCTTGTGTCTTAATTTCATTCATTTCGCTGGCCTCCTTTGGCGTTCCTCCCGAATCAGGAGAGAAGATATCTCTTTCAATGACAACCCTTCTCAGCTATTCAGTTTTCCTTTTGGTTCTAAGCGAAATGTTACCTAGAAATTCCGACACTGGTCCCATTCTTACTTATTACATAATATCCGTTATGGCCATAACAGCTATATCTCTTCTCTGTTCCGTTCTGGTCGTGCGTCTCCATTACGGGACATCGAAGCCTCCGAAGTGGATAAGGTTGCTGGTATTAAATTATATAGCAAAATTATGTTGTCAGACAACGAAAAAAGTATCTCCATCTGCAAAAGTGAACGAATCTATGGGAGAATCGGGGCAATTTGAGGAAACATGGTTAAAAATTGGTCGAACTTTGGATAGATTTTTCGCCATAATATTTTTTATGATAATAATGATTGTATCACTAACTTTACTGGTAGTGATTCCAGCTATGAATTCCACTTGAACAAGAGGAATAAGTGAAATAGACAAAGCATAATATGACGCAATAAATTGATTTATATAGAGAACAGTGTGATAAGTATACTTGCATAAATAACCTTGTATTATAAACTACAGTCAGCAGAACAACTTGACAATGTGTAGCTGTGGTTAAAAACAGGAGAGAGGAAAACCGGATAGGGAATTCAGGAAAAAAATGAAAATATTTATGATTTAATCATTGTCTTATTTTGCTTTTGAACATCTTATTCTTAGATTGTTTTTCTTTAGTTTCTATTAATATTTATAATCTTTTTTCCATTTAAGAAATTCCATCTTCAAAGACTTTTTCCATTTTCGCTTTCCTTTTCCTCTTCGATATCTTCCTTTAAAGACCTGAATTAATACAAATGTTAATAATAACGTATTCATTAAAAATTCTATCTGCGAAGTGAAACTTTTACGTCTTTTTTCTTTCTAGATATTTCTTCTCGGCTTTCGTTTCTTTGCTTCCCAGCACTTGCTGTTTATTCTTTATTTCTTTCTCTCTGTCTGTCTATCTGTCACTCACTCACTCTCTCTCTCTCTCTCTCTCTCTCCTTTTAAACGAAAGCTACTGTTTTAGGGTACGGAATCTTCATAAAGTAGCCTAATAGACAAACATACGCAAACTTGTCCTATATAGTTCCCTAACAAATCACTCGTTTGTTTGTCAGTTTACTTTTGTAAAGAATTGTTTTTTTGTGGCGACCTGATTAGTTTACAAATAATCGGAGAGGTTCGCTCTTTCATTTAGAGATATGAATAAAAGGATTGAAAACTAAAAATTCGTCGTATTGAATATTCAATAAATAAGGTTACTTTGTCAAGGTTCTAGCTAAAAATTTAATCTAATAGTTGATTTTAAAGTCTTCTTGTACAAACAACGTAGTTACAACTACTTCTCTACTAATTATGTAGTGGAGAAGTAGTTATATATGCAAATAATTGACTTTAGGGAGGAGAGAGGAAGGGACAGAGAGAGAGAGAGAGAGAGAGAGGATAAAAAGAACATTTCAAAGAGGCGGCAATAACTAATATGCAAAAAACAAAAGTGAAAGATTTCCTAAATTTGAAATATATCTTTTCTTTCCCTCTTAATTTTACTTACCTACGAATAAAAATTAATTAAATAATCAATCATTTAAATTAAAGCACCTGCTTTAAAGAATATTCCCTTTTCTTCGCTTTCTCTCTCTTCTCCGCAAACAAATAAAAATGACAATGACAATGACAATGATCGAAAGGTATTAGAGAGAGAAGGCGATAGGTACTGAGCTTGCTTCAGCGATAGGTGGCTCTCTTGTGGTCTTGAGTAAACACTTTTCTTTTTGAATAAAATAATAAAGAAATAAATAATTAGAGCAAGAACAGGGACATCGAGATAAAAGGACGTATCAGTACTAAATGCCACGTTTTTGTTACATCATAAAAAAGAAAATCAATCAATGTTGTTTTCAATATACGCCATCTTTTCAGAGAATTCAAAAAGAAACGCCCTCAATCAACCACTAGCAAGAGCGACGTATAGCGTCTATAATCTAAAAAAGACGTCGTAAGCCATTCCTGATCGGGTTGTACTAGTCATAGAGTCATAGACGCCGAAGTGACTAGATGAGAAAGCAGAGAAAAGAGATCGAGTTAAAGTAGAAGCGAAAACTGACGAACAATTTATATGTGGAGAAAGTGGAAAAGGAGCAAGTCGAAGTTGTAGAAGAAATTGCGTAATTGAACTTGAAAGGAGAGAAATTGAGAGAAAAAGATAGAAAGAGGGAAGAGAGAGAGAGAGGGGGGGGAAAGGGGAAGGTAGAAGGAGAAGAAATAAGAATAAAGACGAAAGAATGAGAAAGAATCTATTGATATACATGGAGCTGATTTCGTCCGTATTTGGCGTTTTCAACATTCCGAATTTAAAGGAGACTGGCTATGTACAAGACGGTGACATCCTATTAGGAGGAATCTTTAGAGTGCATGATTATAGCGAAAAAGCTCCGTGCAGCGATAGAATAAGATCTTCAAAGAGTTTTCAATACTTTGAGGCGATGGTATACGCTATTAAACAGGTAAACATTTTCTTTACTGCTGCAAACTTGAACAAACGTTTGCCAGATACAAAAGAAATTGAATACGGTAATCGAATAGCAAAAGAAGAGTATACAAACTTATTTAAAAGAGTACAATAGATTAAAAGTAACTTTGTAAAAATCACTCATTTTTTTCTTCTCGTTCATTCTTAATATGGAAAATAGTTTTGAGAAACCATACAGATAACTACAGTATACTCATCATCTCAGATGATTTAGCTGTAAATCGCTCGCTAACGCAACAAACTCCCACAAACCGATTGCGCTAAACAGAGAGAAAGAAGAGAGAATGAAAGGAAAGCTAACATTAGTAGCGAAAAGAGGATAGAGGATCAAAAGCAGATAAAGATTGAAATACTTAAATTATCTGTTTTGTCAAATTGAAAAAAGGAAAAAAAATCAATTAGAAATATTTAAACAGTTTTCTTAGTAATTTAACATTAAAGGGGAAAATCTATGCAAAAGATAAAAGTCAACTGGCTATATTTCTCAGTAGAAGAACTATTGAAGAACATTTTGTTCGATTGAAAAAACAATTCATCTCTGTTTTGTTTATTATTCCTTACCGCTGATCGTCTATCGTTTTATGCCTTTTTCCTTTCTAAGCTCTTCCTGCACTCCTCCTCCACATCGTTTCGTAGGCAGCCGAACGTATTTGCACTGCGTTACCACTACATCTTTCACTCATCTTTTCATATAATATTTATCTAAACGGCTGCTTTGGCCTATCAGGAATGTTGCTAAACTTCTCAATACGGCTGATATTTAGCGAATCCTTATTCAGACATTATTTGGCTTTTTAATTAATAAGAGGTCGATTAAAGAGAAGATTGACATTCACCAGTAGACAGCACATTTTCCATTTATATATCTAGGTGTACACGTTCATCATACGTGTTGTTTGTTGATATTATTACAGCTGGATTGTCGACATGTCTCTATTTAAAGACGATGGGGGAGTGAAAAGATTCTATTCCTCCAATAAGATCACTAGCTTTTCATCCCTCTACTACTTTTTGCTAAAATCAATTTCCCTCTATAGCTTAACACCGAAAGGAAAATCCTACCAAATATTACGCTGGGCTTTGCCATATTGGACGATTGTAATCGCGATCAAACGGCCCTGGCCAGGTGTCTTCGTTTTGTCCCTCCAGCAAGTTGCTGTAAGGATTGTAAAGAGTCGTCAATTACCAACAATCCTTATCACGAGGTTAGATCGTATATACAGTAGATCCTATATTAAAAGTGTGTTTTTTATATTAAAACATTGTGAGAGAGGTTTTATGAACAATTATAGATTTCGGGAGTAATCAGTGGCACAAACAGTCAGAACACTTTAACGGCCGCCACTTTTTTAGAAGTATTTAAAATACCAATGGTCGGAGCTGTTTCTACGTCCGAATCGTTAAGTGACAAAGATAAATACAGTTACTTTATGAGAGTTGTACCCAGCGACAAATATCAGGCGCAAGTAATTGTTGATATACTTTTACTTCACAATTGGACCTATGTATCGGCTGTGAATTCGGAAGGAGGATACGGCGAAATTGGAATGAGGGCGGTGCTTGAATTGGCGAGAGAAAATGGTATTTGTATCGCATACTCAAGACAACTAAGTAAGGCTAGGGGAAATATTGAATACGTGGAAACTGTTCAGAACCTGGCGAAGCAGAAAAACGCGCGGGTTGTTGTCATGTTTGTTCAGGTAAAATACACACACGATGACTGGTTGAGAAAAAGAAGGAAAGAGAGAGAGAGAGAGAGAGAGAGAGAGAGAGTGGGGTTTGTATATATACGAGAGTGAGAAAGAGTGAAAAAGAGATAAAGAAAAAACCAACACAATTTCAAATTAGTTGTCCTTTAATAGAGTCACATTTGCAACTAATTAATTTTTGTTTCTTTTTTTGTCAAGGGCTCCGATGGCACTGGAATAATTAGAGTAGCGAAATCAATGGGTCTTTCGCAGAGATTCATTTGGATCACTAGCGATGGAGTGAATGCCGCTTCCGATTTGGTTGGATTAGAAGATGCGGCAGAAAGTAGTTTCTTTGTTCAACTATATTCAACAGGTCGAGTTGTTGGTCTTTAATCTTTATTATTAATAGTTAAGTTTGATATAAAATCAAAAGAACGAGTTAAATGAGCAACAGGACATGGGAATATAGAAATATTTTAATGAAGTTAGCTTTTCTTTGCCTGTCTCTGATTTTCTTTCATTTATCTTTTCCCTATATCTTGGTCGCTTTCTTGCCTCTTTTTTTGCCTTATTTTACTTATTTTTTTTAATCTTTCTTTCATCCCTTCTCTTCTTACTTCTTACTCTAATGTTTACGATGATAAGAAAAGGGGAATGGGGAGAGGATGGAGGAGAACGTAAATGAGGACAAAAGTTAAAGTATGCTCCAATTAGTAGGTTGCTTTTGCTCTCCTGCGTGAAAACTGATAACTCTTTAGAAGGGCAGGGGCAGAGAAAGGATTTTGAGGGGAAAAAGAAAAGAAAGCTGCATAATGTGTAATAGGAAAGTTTCAAAACCCTGTTTCAGAATAGTAGCTGCTCGTAAAAGGCAAAAACTCGTTGTAGTATTTTTCTTCGCGGTTGCAACGAAAGAGAGAATAAAAAGAAGATGTTTAGTTTAAAATGATTAATTGTATTTTATATAGGGGCCCAGGGATTCTCGAATTACTTTGAGAGCATCACTCCGTCAAACAATAGAGACCCGTGGCTTTCCGAACTATGGTTAAGGGAATTTAATTGCGATCCATTAATGCAGGCATGCCCCTATCGAATGACGGATATTCCAGATTATTCACCTTATAGTAAGACAGCACTATTCTCCGACACTGTCAAAACGTTCGCTTACGGAATAAAGTCAGTTGTAAAGGAAAAGTGTCCCGAAGCTGTTGGACATCGTTTACAATTGCGAGAGTGCTTAAGAGGTGGCGAACTTTTGGCGGCTATGAGAAACGTTTCCTTCTTTGGCAGTTATGGTCTTGTAAGATTTGACGAGAACGGAGACGCCGATGGGAAATATCAGATAGAACAATTGCAAAAAGACCAAGTAAGCTTTTTCCATTGAGGTTTTACCGATTGTATAAAATTGTATGTTTTCCATTTCCTTAAAAAACTAGAATGGGAAACGTTTCGTAGCTTCGGTAGGCATATGGGATAAATTTCGAAAAGTCTTGGATATTACTGAACCTCTCTATTGGAATTTTAATTATACAATTGGCTCGGAATCGAACATTCCAGAATCGGTTTGTAGTAAACCCTGCAATCCTGGCGAATACGCTCTGCAGCAAGAGTTAAAGTGCTGTTGGCTTTGTAAAAAGTGTAGGGAGAATGAACGAGTTTTGAATGGAACCGGTTGCGAATTATGCCCTGTTCTAACTTGGCCAGATGAGAATACTTTTGACGTATGCGTCACAATAGACGCTACTTACCTTCAATTTAATCAACCTCTACCTTTGGTAGTCTTGGTTCTTTGCATTATTGGGATAATTTGGTGTTGGATAGTACTGTTTGTTTATTTCCAAAACTGGAAAGAGAGACTGATCAAAGGTGAGATTTTGCAACCACTTAAAACAAACCAACAAGCTAGATCAGAAAACAATTGTCTCCTTTACTTATTTAAACAAACAAACAAACAAACAAACAAACAATAAATAAATAACACAATCAAGCTTGAAGGCAAGCTGGCAAATAAAGAGTAAATATTGACCAATCAAGTAATGATTATCTATTCGTTCTTTTCACAGCGACAAGTAGAGAATTAAGCATGATAACCATGTTTGGTGTTATTATCAACTACGTCACTGCCATTTGCATTGTGGCAAAGCCTCATTCTGGAAATTGTTATATAAGCAGAATTGGTTTTCACGTTGGTCTGGCCGTCTGCTATGGTCCTCTACTATCGAAGACGAGTCGAATACATAGAATATTCGAGTCGGCGAAGAGAGGAAAACAAAAGCCAAGCTTCATTAGCAATAAAGCAGTCATTGTCTTCGCGGTTATACTAATTGCTTTTCAAGTAGGTATTAAACTTTGTCTGTTCTGTGTTAAGTAGAGAGAAAACAAGGAAGTAGTTAGGCAGGTAAATTTTGTACGAAATAGCAAGTTATTATGCGTAAGGCTTGATTTCTATCCTCTTTTTTCATCAGCAGTTGATAATTCCGTGTCTTTATATCGCGTGACGCCCTGCCGACAAAGATTTTCCAACAGGAGACGATAGTGGAATTCATTTATTCGTTTTGTTTCGTAGTTCGTTCGTTGTGTTTAACGAGTTTATTCTACATACTAATATTTATCAAATCGCCTAATTGCCTAGTTTGACCTGGCTGATTTATCACAAACAGGGCGTTGTAACAAGTATTACTACGGCTCTGTATCCACCGAATGCACTCTTACGAATGCCTGTCGAAACGAAACGCTACGTGGAACAGTTGTGCGACTTGCCTCTAAAAGGTCTTATACCGCCTCTGGCTTATAACGTTCTCCTTTTGGTTTCGTGTGCAGCCTACGCTTTCAAGTGTCGCAACTTTCCTGAGAACTTCAACGAGAGCAAATATATTTTTGCTTCAGTATCAACAACGGTGTTCCTCTGGTCAGCGTTCGTACCTACTTATTTCACCGCCTTCTACGCCGAACATAAAGCATTACTACTAGCTTTGGTTCTCGTCCTCAACTCGATCGTGTTGACTCTGAGCTTTTACGCTCCAAAAGTCTACGCATTGTACTACGTGGACGAAGATAAGTTGATTATAAATAACATGACGTCAATTGGAGGAGGAGGTGGTAGTGGTGGTGGTCGTTTGTCTTCAAAAGTCGCTCCTGAGAAATGAAACCTGCACAGATTGTACAAATATACTGAGATAAATAGACTGCAACAGATGATAAGGGATTTCAATCGGAAAACAATTCTTTTAAACTCTTCTTATAGATTTTACCAGTTCCATTCATTTTGTTTAGAGAAGCGCACATATTCTCTGCAGATGGGAGGTGGAGGAAGGCGGGGTTAATGACGATGATAATGCTGATGATGATGATGTTGATGATAATGACGATGATGATTAGAAGAGAAAGGAAGAAGAATAGAAAGAATTAAAAAAAAGACTCGAAATCTCTTTTAGAGAAACCCAGCCCTATATTTTTGTAATTTTGAAAAAGAAAAGCATGATATCCCCATTATCCTTAGGTAAAAGATCAAAGTGAAAAATTGTATCGCGTTGTATCTAAAATTATTCGTTTGTATTTAATGTAGAACAACGAATTAAAAAAAAAGGCAATTAATTTAAGATTTTTATTTCTCTTTCTTCTATACGTTTCCTTTTCTCTATCTTTCTCCATCTTCTCTTTCTCACTCGGTTTCTCACTCTCTTTCTCTCTCTCTTTCTTTTTCTCTCTCTCCCTTACTCTCTCTTTCTTTCCACTTTTAGCACTTGTAAACCGTTTTAGTAGTCAAACAGAAAAAAAGAAATACAAAGAGAAAGACATTGAGAAAAAAATAGAGAATAACTCTACTATAGGCTTACATGAACAGAACGATACAACGGCATAAACATTAGTCATCGGCATAGAGCAAAAGCCAAGCTAAACATTTTGTTTACCTCCTTACATATTTCTTTTCTAGTCGAATGATCTCAATGAGGGATCAGGTTTAGTCGAAAAAATATCGTCCTACTTTGAAGGGATTAGATGAGGGAAGGAGCGCCATCTGTAGTCAGTGCTCGGTACGTTGCTACGAGAAGCCAGCATGGCAGTCGGATTAGAGACAAGATATTGAACGGTTCGACGATCCCATGAACATATTGTATAGACTAAGAGTAGAAATATAAAATGTACAAAGATTTCCAGCAGCCACTGGTCCACCTTCCAGTGGCGGCAACTTCGAGAAGGAGTAAAAGGTCATCTATTGACAAGAAGAACGTTACCGGTTTATTCTTGGCCGCGGAGGGAAATATTGAACCAAAGAAACCAATTAGCGTTCCGCCGTTGGCTAGGTCGAGATTGGTTTCCAGAAGGCCTAAAACTCCCAGCGAGAAAAGGAGTCAAGTTGGTTTATTTCGTTTTTTATAGATCAATAGACTTGTTTATTTCTTATATTGATTGCTTGTTCGTCTTTCCTATTGGAAATATGTAGAAATTGGTCGACTACTATAGAGGTAATGAAGTGAAGATAAGGTCCGGTTTTGTTGGAAATCGCTTAAAGGTAAATGCAAAGAGTTTAGGCTTGTTTAAAGTTTCACTTCCGATATAGAGCATGGATTCATTTTTTCTAATGCATTATTCATAAAAGAAGAGCGTTCAAAGACGAATTGATTAATTTAATGGCGTATCGATGATTTTCTTTTATGAATAGCCTATTGTTCAACGTTAAATTCCAGTTAAATTCAAGCAAACATTTTCACTCGCTTTCACTTTTTTTCTTCCCTTGCCCCTCTTCACACTACACCTTCTGAAAATTCAAAGAAACGTCAACAGCAAAAGAGCTCTACCGTAGACAATAGCCGCGAATGGACTCCTTGCGCAATAGAAGAAGAATACTGGGAAATTCCCGCTCTGAGGAATCGCTGCTCAACAGCTCCAATAGCCGACGATGACGAGAATATCGACTACAAAAAGGAACTAAAAGGTCTAATGGATTGCTACCAAAAGGTCTGCGGGGTAAGTCTTTCTTTTTTAAAGAATTGATTTCTGCGAAACAATCACCTAGAATTTTTTAGGCCTAGACTCTTGACAAGTGTTATTGCTTATTCAAAACTTTTTTCATTCAATATCTTTTCTATATAAATCATTTATATTATAAAAAGTCAAGAGAGAGAGAGAGAGACAAGGGAAGGGGGGAGCAGGAGGGAGTAAAGAAAAGGTGAGCAAAGAAGGAAGGAGCGGGTAGGTGGGGGTACCGAGAAAAGGATGGAAAGCAGGAACATTAAGAGGAGGACAGATAGTATAAATAGCTGACCGATAGATTATTCAGACAATTTGTACCAGCCTCATTTGATCTCTCCATCAGCTTATTAGCACTAGAATGTACTTTTTTCAAGTGTGATAATAGAACGTAAAACAGAATTCTTTTGCAGGCGACCTTGTCAACACTCTCTTCCCTGCAAACATTACTGCCTCGTAAACGCTCGCAATCTAGACCTGATCATAACAAGGATTTCCTTTCGATAAGGTAAATATTGACATTGCTCATATTTTCACCCAATTAAAGAATTTTGTGCATATTTACACGATAGAAGCTTTCAAAGTCCCAGTCAAGCCGAAATAATGGCCATTTTCCCCCCTCAAGTAACCTCTAGACCTAAAACGTACCCGCACGGAACGTTACGCCCTCTCTCGACTACCCAAGGAACTTTCTACAGTGTAAAAGGTATTGTTAAGCAACCTTAATTAATTAATTAATTGATCGGCTGAAATTGATTCGAAAGATCCGAGCGTTAGAATGGTTAGATTCTGCGTTTGATTGAAAACATTTTGCGTATTTCCATGTATTCAACGTTTATTAAAAGCGTTTGCCTTTTATTTTTTTTTTTAAAAAAAAACTATTAATTTTCTAGATTCTAGACCAAATCATCTTTTGATGATATAATTTTAAAGAACTTTCAATAGGTTTAGTTAAATCCATTAACATTTCAATCGCTAAAAAAAGACAGCCTTTGATATTGAGGTAGTTTTTTTTTCACCTTTTACGCCTCCCCTATTATTGATTAAGCAGGAAAAATAGGCCTATATATTAAGCAAAAGCGTACAATTGAAGTTAGGAGTACTCAAAGGCGTTACTCCTCTTTCTCTGCTCTCTTGGCCCCGCTCTTTGCTTCAACCCCCTCCTTTCTATTCTATGCTCCCTTCCTTTTTTACTGCTATCTCTCTTCTTGGTCTCTGTCCCTCATTTAAACCCATATAAGCTCTCTCTCTCTCTCTCTCTCTCTCTCTCTCTCTCTCTCTCTCTCTCTCTCTCTTACCCTCTCTCTCTCACTTTAGCTTGCTCACAAGCTCGAGTCCCTCACTCTCTGGCTCTTCGGCGCTCTCGCTACAAGTGCGTGTGTATGTACGTATCTCTTTGAGACTCTCTACTCTTTTGTGTCTTCACTCGATGCAATAGCTGTCAACCAAATACCAATCAAGAAAATTTTCGATTATTTAATAAGATTTCTAAAGAAAACTAATAAAATAGCTTAAAGACAAAGGAAATAGGGAAGAGACAATCGTAGGATCGTTGTATATTTCGTAAAAAGAAAAAAAGAGAGATAAAGAAAGTAAATATCTTGTGTCGAATCTCTGCATTCTTCAAGTTTGCTGCTTAATTTGCCTGACTCGGTAAAAGAAAAGTATGATGAGAATTTCGGCTGCATTTCGTCGTACAACTGATTGGATACTTCAAAAGTTTCATAACAACTCAACTTCTGGTAAGATAATAAGATTATGACGAGTAGATAAGTAAATTGGGATGAATTGAATTCCCTAGTAATTTCTCTTTTTTTCTTTTTTTGTGTATGTCTGTTTGGAGAAAAGATTCCTTTCTTCCTTAACGAGTAAGGAGAGGGAGCAAGCATTAAAACTATATAATTAGCAAGGTCATTCAATAAAGTCGCAGTAGATAACAAAAATTGGTGGGTTAGAGAGTTTGTCCAAGTGAAGAATCTTTATCTATATTGCGTGTCTGTGTCTTGATTGCCTTAGTTAAATTTTTATCCCCACTAAGCAAGTTCTTTCTTTGTTTTTTTTTCTCTCTCTCTCTCTCTCTCTTATATATATGTGTATACGCTCCCTCTTTCACTCTCTCTCTCTCTCTCTCTTTCAACGAAAAGGTGAACAAGTGGAAATTTATCGAATTAAAACAATTTTCTTTCTTTACTTTCATAGTAATTATTCTATTAATATTTCGACAAAAAATTACGAGGTTTTGCTTTCTGATAAAAAGGTCTTGTGTTATTTCTTTCTTTCTCTCTCTCTCTCTCTTCTATTCTATTCTATCCTTAGATTTTTTCCCCGAATGACGACATTTAGCTTTAGAGATGACGGGGAAGCTTTAACGCAATTATCACTACTATGAAACGTTTAGGCTAATGAAAGAAGCCCCTTTTATGATGATTAGCACCTGGGAAGATGTGAAAGAATGAATTCTTTCGGTAAACTGAGAATCGTAATAAAAGTGTACTTAAAGAACTTTAAAGCGCCTAGATGACTATTCATTCTCGCGGTATAAGTTACCTTTAATTACCATTGACTTTGTTTTTACCCGAATTTATGACAGAGTGCCTTTTTTCTGTTTGCCTTTGTAGCAAGTTGCTTTCTGTAGTAAGTTATTTAAGAGCTTGAAAGACAGTATAAATTGATATATGTTACGTACATTCGTAGTATGCTATGCAGTTATAGCAGTTATATAGAGTACACGTTTACATAGAATAATAATCAGTATAAACAGTATATCTACAGTATACGATATACTGTATAACTGCATACTCTATATACAGCGCATAGGGGAGCTGTAGTTGGCTTAAATAGCGTGTTTGTAGAATTCGCATTTTGATTGGATATTTAATTAAGGCAGTGCCTACGAAATCGGTTAAGACTTCATTTAAATAATACGGATTTTGCATTAGAGAAGGCCGCCAAAGGCGGGTTTTTCGAAGAGAAAAATAGGAACAACCTAAAAGATGCTTATTTAGCAGTTAATCAAATGGAAGGAGGAAGAGTTTTTCGTTCGGATTAGAGGATTAACCTAATCCGGTTCTCCAAAATCCCAGTTTTATATAATCCTAGAGAGGAGACAGGAGTGAAAAAACTCTTTTTATGCCTTTTTTTTTACGCTTTAATGAATAGTATACAAGTATACTGTATACAGTATTTATATTCCTTTCAACTGTTCTATATAAAAAAAAAGACTGTCGTAATCAACCGAAAAAAGGACGTGTTTTTTTAGCCGTCGAAACGATTAAGCATATTGTACGTTAGTCGCCTCCATATATAAGTAATAGAAAGGTAAAAGAAAACTGCAAGGGGGAAGAGAGAGAAAGGAATAGAACATGACCCATAGCGAGAGAGAGTGAGAGAGCAGGAAACGAAAAACTTTCTGGATCTCTCCAGTTAGTCTAATATACTATATGTACATTATAAGCTTAGGATTGTAGATATTGTCGCTTTTATTATCAACAAATGAGAAACACAAAAGTAGGAAAGGAAGAAAGTGAATAGGAATTAGAGATAAATTAGGGAGCAATTAGAAATAGAGGAAATAAGCATTGAAATTCCCTGCTTATCATAGCATCTTGGCCTTTAATAATTATTTAATAAAGATTCTATACCCCAGCATTTTCTCTTCCTTCGTCTTCGTTGATTATTTGTTAAAGAAATGTCTCGATTCATTTACCTGTTGATTCATTCGTTAGGTCATCAATCCGTCTGCTTGTCTGTTCGTTTATACGTCTGTCTGTCTGTCTGATTCACCGGTTTGCTAGCTGGTTGGTTGGTTGGTTGGTTGTTCGGTTGGTCGTTAACCTGTGAGAGAAGGGACTATGATATATTCGGATGGTGTGTAGAGGAAGGGAGGGGCAGAGGAATGATTAAACACACTCTTGCCTATTCAGTATATCTATTATCGTCAAATTATTGTTTTGTTTTCGTCGTGTCGTAATAGATTTGTTCGTAATCGCTTCTGCTCTTTCAGTAAGATCTATAGAAGCAAAGAATAAGAAATAGTTGAATAAGGAGATAGATAGATGGATAAAATGAATTAGTGAATAGATCTTCTTTTCGATTAATTAGGCAATGCTCTTATTAAGGGGCCGCTTTTGGAAGACGCTAATTAAAAAAAATATATAAAAACTACGAGTATTTTTAAAGTGAATAGAACGCAAATGGAGAACATTGCAAATTGTTCTGGCACTCTAACTTATATCCATATCCATCCTCCTTCTTCGCCTGTTATTCCATACGTCAGTCTAGGGTTGTTTTACCGCTCCGCTCCCATTTTATTCATTTTGCTCAGACTATCTATCCTTTAATAGGGAGTGAAAATGGCTAGTATGTCTGCTTGTTTGTTTATTTTACTCTTATCCATTTGTTTTCAACCATCGTCGAATTTGTACAGAAAGGATAGATATGTACAAGTAAACCTTTCAATACGATAATGGCGTATAGGATTGCGATAGTGACTTTTTTCTCGTATAGTTTGTTTAGTTGTAGCCGTGTGTATAGACGAGGTAAGATTAATCATTGATCTCTTCAATATAATTAATAGCGTGAATAGCTAGCCAGTTGTGTAATCTTTCGGTTCGAATGAGTAGAGAAGAGAGTGAAAAGAACAGTCTGTGCGGTACTTTTATCATAAATTCTAGACTTATCTGCACCTTATGGAAAATAAAGTATCCCTTTTAGATTGTGAGTATTAATAGCAAATTCTCTTTCTTTTGTTTTCTTTTTTATCTGACGGCTTACGTCTATAAATAGTTTTGAACAAGTGCGATATTTGAAAATTTTCCGCCCGTTTCATTCCAATCATTCAACCCTGCTTTAATTATCTAATTAGATTGATTTTCGATTTTTTTCTATCTATATTGAAATAAATGAGGGTAAAAGATAATGACGAGAAGGGTTTTTTTCTCATTCCATTTAGAGGAAACAAACAGATAAATATATAGAAAGATTGATGAGAAACGGCATTAAAGTCTGAATAATATCTTGTGTAATTGAACGTCCTCTCTTCTCAGACGTAATTTGGCCATTTCCGACCTATTAGATAGCTAAAAATATAAAAAAAAGGACATGTAACGCTGCTTTAATTCTGAGAAAGTGTACAGGTTTTTTTACCATTTATTTTTCAAAGGCCAACTCTAGCTGATCACGTTCCGCATTAGTAGTGAATGGAATAAAGTCATTTTTGCTCCACCCCCCGCCCACCTGTAATTATCACGCATTATGAGAAAAGTAAATTGTTGATATATTTATATTAGATAGTGAAATTAGCCAATTTATTGATCTGTCCAAATATCTCTCTTGAATTCTCTTTCTCTCTCCGTCTCTCTTTCCCTTTCTCTTCTCTTAACATTAAACTGGAGAAAAACTTTGAAGAGAACGGACAAGAATTGCTTCATTAACGGTATTGATTTCATTTTGAGATTCATTAAAGAAACGAAAAGAAAATATTTGGATTTGAAAAATTATGCAGAGTAAGTAAATTTTCTCTGTGACGTCTCTAGGTAAATTGCTGGAATGTCTAAGCATATTTTCCCCTCTTTTTCTATTCTCTTTGGCTAGCATTAGTGTGTATGTGTCCCACTGTCTGCCTGTTAATCAATCCGTCTTTTCCTTTCTTCTAACGCCTTATTTACAACTTATGGCTTGTAACAAATAGAGAAAATGAGCTAGTCTTGACTTCCGCCAAGTTCTAA